AAGGGTGCTCATGAAAAATGAAGCAATTTGCCTGACCACAGCTTGGGACAATGTTCCATATGTCGACACTGAGGAATCTTTCCTGGGCTAGTATAGAAGATGTCTGGAGCTGCTTACAACCTTTATGCTTCTAATTAATTGCAAGGATTACAGATGGATATTATTCTTAATATGGTTTCCTACCAACTGTTTATGTCTTGCTTCTAGAGAGTTGTCTGCTGTTTTGCCATGACATTTCCCCAGTACATTGTGAATAGATCTTTTGTGTTGCCAGCACAGTGCTAAGGAGAAATCACTCTACCCTGGAAGTATTTAACAGTATAGTTGACAACTGGGTCTTTTTGGAAGGTGAGGTGCAGAGAATAACAATTGCCTGTCCTTTGAAATTTTGCCTAATAGCATGGTGAACTGGAAATAAAAATCTGCTTGGCTTCTTTTTAATAGGTAGTACAAGTGTATGCCACAGCTTTCCTATGAGAATAAGTAATCTCATTAGGAAAGTGTTAATTCTCTCAAGCCCCAAGGTGATATTCAGAAGGTATTCTAATAAGGCACCCAAGGAATCTAACTTATTAGCTTTAGGAGGTCACACATTTGTCCAAGTCTTTTGTTGTGAAATGAGTGTTCTTATGTGCTAAGTTCTCATTTGTGAGTAATTACAAAAGTGACCCAACAGTATTCTAGTACTTACATAATCCTCGATTATACATCTAAACTGCACTAAGACTTTGGAAACCCTCTGTTGAATGTAATTCTTGGAGACTTTTTGGAACACTCTGCCTATGGCTTTCCATAAATCTTGCATAAAATTCCATCCATTGGCCTGAAAACTTTGCTTTGGTTCCTTTGCATTTATTTCATGAGTAAGCAATGTAGCATGAAGCCTGTTTGTCTCTTACCTTCCACACTTACTACATAACCAGCCCACCTATTTTTCCAGACATACATATATTTAGTGATATCTTATATATGACTTCATGTCCATGTAACACTCAAATATGCGTGCACTTAGAGAATAAGTAGTCTCCCTAACTTCTTTCATTCTCTTTGTTTTTCAGGTGTGAGTATATGTGCACAGTTAGACCAATCTTTTTAAATGATGATATCTATGCCAATATAAGCCATGGAATTATGCGTTCTCTACACACTACAAGTATACAGAGTGTTCCAAAAGTCTTAGATCAGTATTAAGCTATTTAAAGTGGTTAAAATTCCACTAAGCACTGAGACTTTGGAGCCACCTTTTATAAATAGCATGTTTAAAATGCCTCATAATACTTTAAAGAAGAATTCTTGGGGATGTTTAAATGAGAATGCTATTTTAACTGTCAGTATCAGTGAATCACAGGATCATAAGAGGTAGGGCAAGAAGTTGTGACTTATCCAAGGTCACACAGGTCGTGAGCTGCCAAGCTAGGATTTGAACTAAATTATTCTGACTCCAAATCCACTGTGGGGTTTTTTTCCATTATACCACACTGCCCACCTCTTTGATATTACTATCTCTGTTAAAAATCGAGACTTCATCTATTTGAAGGAAATTAGGCTTTATCTAGGCTGAAATGTGTATCCAAGCTAAAATATAGAGCACGTGATCTGACTTGAGTCTAATCTCCCACCCAATTCCAGAATCCCTCATACAGTATTCCTTACAGATGACCATGTAGTCTCTGTTGGGACTATACCTCCCCAGAGGAATCTAATGACCTTAACAAGGCAATTGGTTTCTTTTGGGCAGAGTTTTAGTTGCTTGTTATTCTGGAGAGACTAAGTATGCTCTCTTGTGGGCTGAGAGTGGCTGGACTTCATTATTCCTCAAGTTCCTTCTAGTTCTAAAATTCTGGTTTACAACTATTTGAATACATCTACCATACAAGTCCCCAAGTTATCTCTTCTCCCAGATAGACATAACTAGTTTCTTCAACTGTTTTTGTAAGATACTTTTTCAGTACCATGGTTACTTTTCTTTTGATACTCTGTAGTTTGTTTTTGCCACTCTTAAAATGTAGTATGCAAAATTGAACACAAAATCCCAAATGTGGTTTGACTAGTACAGAATATAATTTGGATCTTTCCCTAGCACTACTCAGCAGTCCAAGATCTAGAATGTCAGGGTAGTTGAAGCTCCCTATAGCTATTATGTATTCCTCTGACAGTTTTGCCATTTGTATCAGGAAAGCACCATTAGTATTTTCCATCAAGGGAGAGACAAAAAAAAAATAAATACAAGGTGATTTCAGAGAGGAGAAGACAGTAGCAGCTGGGGGGAGGGTGGATATCAGGGAAGGCTATGTGTAGGAGATGTCACCTGAGCTGAGCTTTGAAGGAAGCTGAAGATCCCAATAGGTAGCAGGGATGAGGGAGTATATTCTAACCATAAAGGATGGAAAGTACAAAGGCATGGAAATGCGAGAAGGGATGTCTATTATAGTGATCTAAACTAGAGGTAATGAGGGCCTGAACAAGGGTGATGGGCATGTGAATCTAGAGAATAGGGTGGATGCAAGAAATGTTGCGGAGATGGAATCCATAAGTCTTAGCAGCTGGTTGAATATTGGGAATGGAGCTAGATTGCAAAACTGAGTGACTAGAAAAATGGTGGTACCCTCATCAGAAATGATGAAGTATGGGAAAGAGTGATTTTGGAGGCAGAGGGAATAGTGAGTTAAGATTTGGATGTGTTCAGTTTGAGATGCCTATAGAACATCTATTTGGAAATGTCCAGTAAACAATTGGTAATGCAGAACTATAGCTCAGGAGAGAGAGAGAGAGAGAGAGAGAGAGAGAGAGAGAGAGAGAGAGAGAAGGGCTGTATAGAAAGAACTGAGAGTCAGTCATTTGTGTAGAGAAGATAATTAAATCCATGGGAGCTGAATAGATCAACATTAGAGAAAATATAGAAGTCCAAGACAGAGCATTAGGAAATATTCAGAGTTGGAAAGATGTACATTAATAGTGAATCAGCAAAGAAAACTGCATACTGGCAAACAGATAGGAGAACCAAGAGAGAACAGTGTCCAAAACAACAATAACCACACACACACACACACACACACACACAACCAAAGGGAAAGGATGAAAAAGGTTTTCCCCAATTTAGATTCTTCCGAGAGGATAAGAATGATGAGGACTGGGAAAAGGCTAATATGTTTGACAATGTCTGCATCTTTAGTTTCTTTGGAAAGAGTCATTTCAGTTGAGTGATAATGTGGAAAGCCAGATGGCAAAGTGGAGAAGTAAGGGAGAAATTTAGAACTCGCAAGCATAGACAGCTTTTCCTTGGAGTCTGGCAGTGAAAGAGAGGAGAGATATAGAATAGTGGCTCAAGGATCAAAGGTCCAATATGTCAGTTAGTTAGTTAGTTAGTTAGTTAGTTAGTTAGTTAGTTGAGGGGGACATTTGAAGATAACAAGGAAGGAGTCAGAATATAGAGAGATTGAGATTAGAAGTGGGCATCATTGTAAAGGGAATCACTTGGAGAAGATGAGAGGGAGTGGAATAAAAAGGGAAAGTAGAAGGCTTAACCTTGGTGAGAAGGGCCACCTCTTCAGAGACTAATGTAAAGAAATATAGAACAAGGGATGATGTCAGTGGGGTTGTGAGAAATAAAGGAGGGGAAAGGAGAGATCATGGTACAGGTATATTGCTTTCATTTTCTTAGTAATGTATTAGGCAATGTGCCTTGCTTAGAGCAGCAGTTTTTAACCTGAGGTCCATGTATAGACTTCTGGATGTCCGTAAACTTGGATGGGAAAAAAAAAATTACAATTTTATTTTCCCTAATCTCTGAGTGAAATTTAACATTTCCTCCATGTATGAATGTAGGTAAAAAACATTGTTCTGAGAAGAGATCCATAGGTTTCATCACACTCTGAAAAGGTGGAGCATGATACTCACAAAAACAAAAAATTTAAGAATTGGCTTACAGGGTGAAGAAGGGGGTGGGGTGAGAGGCTTGAGGAAAGAAGAAAAATGTTTGTGACAGGAATATGATAAAGACTCAGTTGAGGGGAGGAGGGAGTAAATGGATTTCCTTGTGCCATTGCAGGCCCAATTGAGACGAAATAATACAAATATGTTATGGATCCACTCAGCATATTATGAGACTTTCTCCAGTACCATTTAGAAGCATGTGATTGGGAGCAGAGGAGTCAAATTGTGGAACTGTGTCACATATCCTCACCCATAGTTGACAAAGGTCTTTGATTTCATTTTCTTTTGATTTTTAAAAAATGGTGTGATCTTTAATATTCAGTTAACATGCCCATTCAAGGCTTGTTGTGGTTTTGACTCTTCATCATCTCTCACCTCAAGCATCCAATCAGTTGCCTAGTCTTCTTAAGACTGCCCCCACAGCGTCTTCTATGCCCTTCTCACATTTCAGATCTTCTCATAGGTCACTACCCTTTTGTAACCCTTTCTCACCTCTCTGCTAGATTATTACAATATCTTCCTAATTGGTCTTTTTGCCTTAAATCTCTGTCCTCTTCCATTGATGATGCACACGTAATGTCAAAGTGATAACTCTAAAGCACACATCTGAGCATGCCACTCTTTTTAAAAAATCTTTGTTGGTGGAGAGAGTTTCTGTTAAATCACAGTTTCAGACCAAACAAACAAATGCATGAATTAATGACTAAATAAATGCCATTTTGGATGAGTGACAGGATGGTAAGGCAGACTGTGGACTGTGTATGCAATATTATATTCATTTGCTTGAATAGGTCAATTGTTATGGATAGACACAATGGAGTAAGCACATAAAGAAAGAGAGGAATAAAATAGAGTAGCTTAATAAATAGCACAATGAAATCAGAAAAATGGAGCTTGCCACAATATTATTCTGCAGGAGAAAAAGAAAGTATTTATTTGATAAATACTTTAGCAGATCATGGTTCTGCTGTGAAGGTAGAAGATGGTTCACTTGATTATGTTTAACAGAGAAAAAAATATAATGACTTCATTAAATTGGATGGTACCTGTGTTTCTTCTCTCATTAGGACCCCAGAAGTAAGCACAAGTTTAAAATCCACACATATGGAAGCCCTACATTTTGTGATCACTGTGGCTCTCTGCTCTATGGACTTCTACATCAAGGGATGAAATGTGACAGTAAGTTTTCCTTTCATATCAAAGGGGTCTATTAGATAATGAAGTCACAAAATAATGAACTGTTCCTATTTCAAGAGGAATTACTTCACTTGCAGGTTGCAAAAGGTCCCCTAGGAGTATTGAGTGATGAAGACCATATTTATTAAGTAATTAGGATGTGGAGTGGGGCAGCTAGGTGGTACGGTGGATAGAGCACTGGGCCTGGAATCAGAAAAACTCATCTTCATGAGTTTAAATATGACCTCACACTTAGTTGTATGACCCTGGGCAAGTCATTTAACACTGTTTGCCTCAGTTCCTCATCTGTAAAATGAGCTGGAGAAGAAAATGGCAAACTGCTCTAATATCTTTGCCAAGAAAACCCCAAATGGGATCACAGAGTTGGACATGACTGAAACAACCCAACAACAACAATAGAATGTGCAGTGGACAATACTAGTCAATAAGGGATTTTAAAAAAGAAAATGGGGGCTTACTGTGTTTTGATACCAAACTTAGTGTGGACACCTGATAGGCTTTTACCCACTGCTGCTCAGAACTCCTGAGCTGAAGTGATCTCTCAGTTTCAGCCTCCCCCATAGTAGGGATAACAAGTGGGTACTTTTTATTTATATATTTATTCCTGCCTTTTTATGTTTTTCTACTGGCTCAAACCACTTGGAACATGCTAGAAACAATTAGTAAATGCACAAAGTGAAAAATATATACTCTATTGAGATACAGATGCTGATACGTGTTCTCTGAGGTAAGGAGGATCCTTTGCATTTTACTTATAAGGCTGAGCTTTTTCCCTGTGTGTTTAAAGTTCAACTTTTTTATGTGACACCATTAATATAGAGAGTGAGCTCAGTCATAAACCAAACTGAAAAGGGCAGAATCTCTGGTGCTTTGAATTTCAGGCATTAAATTAATTCATTAATTATGAGCCAAACATACTCCCTTTTTTATATATGAAGATGGTGCTCTTTAATTTTTTGAGCCAAATAACAGAACTTGGTCAGATGGCTTGATATGTTCTTTTTTAAGTAAATCAAAATCATCTGTGACCTCAGGAATATGGGTAGTCCTTCTACCAACATACATCCCAGTCCCTTTGTGTCTTTGTAGATAGGTGCATTAGTTGCTAAGCCTCTGCCAAAAAAATCCATCCCCTAGCGGTAAACTTTCTAAATATGAATCTCTCAAAGATTAGCTTAACTAGTCATCAGATGATGGTCAATCATCAAATCTATACTGAACGATTTTTCCAACTTTGTACAGCCTACCAGAGATTATAATTTGGTGGTGCCACTCTTTAAAACTTAGTGTCTCCTCCAAAACTTGATGAGTTTTTTGAGTAAACCTCATAGAAGAGTCTTAAAGTTGGCTGCTCATATGAGAGTAAACTTTTCATTATGTGTATAACCAGACATTTTATAACTTTAGATTCCACATTTCTTTTCAATTGAATTCTCCAAATAGTTATTATATGCTTTCAGATACCATGCTGGTATTAGGATTGCAAAGATGAAAAATGGAATAGTCTTTGTCCTCAAGGAACTTACAGTCTGTGAGGAAGAAAACTGCATGCACAAACACAAAGATATAAGATACAAGGTGGAATGTAATAGGGGCAAATTGGAGTCTCAGAAGAAAAGAAAAAGTATGCTTAAAAAATTCAAGGAGGATGAAATCATTTTCACCTAGGATATATTTTGGAAATTTTCATAGTGATGGTACCCCCTGATCCCCTTGAAGGAAAAGAAAGGATTTAATCTGGTGAAGATGGGAGTAGGAGTGTGTTATAGTTAAATGTAGTAGCTTGTACAAATGCACAGAGGAGGGAAAGTACATGATTATATAAAATTAGATAACAGTAGTTCTTTTTAGCTGGAACATAAAAGGTACATTACCTGTTGGAGAATAATATGAAATAAGACTGGGAAAGTAAGTTTGAACTAGATTGTGGGGGACCTGAAATGCCAAATTAAGAATTTTTCATTGATAGAATTAGGGTGGAATTCCTTAGCAGTGAATAGTTTCCTTTTAAATAATTTGAATATCATTTACATAGAGCCACGTATATTATTAATCTTCCCATACTCTTTATTCTGCCACCCAAGTTAGTTTTGCACTCCTAACAGCTGTCACTGTTGACAGTCCATAAAGTATTTTCCAATTGGAAATTAAGATTATTTAGAAAGATAATATGTCATAAAAGTTTAGGTCATAAAACTGATATATCATCTCCCATGAGTTCCAATCATTAACTCTCCCCAGGATCCCTAGCAGTAAATTTTGTAAACTCCAAAAATATATTGGACACATATTATAAGACTGTTATCACACAGATGATTCCAGGAGCTATAAAAGATTCCTGCTAAGAGTTTTTTATGTGAACAAAGACATTATAGCAAATTTGCAAGGTGGAAGAAAACTAATTTGTCACTTCTATTCAGAAGTGAGAACACAGTGAATATGGTAATGTTGCTCCTTATGTATGGTTTCTTTGCTTGTTTTTTTTTTAAATTTACAGCTTGTGATATGAATGTTCACAAACAATGTGTAATAAATGTTCCAAGCCTCTGTGGAATGGACCATACAGAAAAAAGAGGACGAATTTACCTGAAAGCGGAAGTCACAGCTGAAAAACTACATGTCACAGGTAAGACACAGTTTCATAGCAGAATTGGCTATAACTTCCTTGTGATCAGCCCATTTGTCTTATTTCCAGTTTTGTTTATGAATTAATATGTTTTCCAAAAGGGATATTGGACATATTGTGTTCATTAATTTAATGTTTCAAAGAGACGGTGACTGTTAATAATATTTGTGGAATTGAATTGAATTGAATTCACTCAAATCAAGAAAGATTTCCCCCATGCTTGGAATGCACTCAATCCTCATCTCTACCTCTGGGAATCCTTAGCTCCCTTTAGGGCTCAACTCAGTTGCCACCTCCTACGTAACACCTTTCCTGATACTCCCATTTGTTAGTGTCCTCTCTCCTCCTCTAAAATTACTTTACATTTACTTTCTACATATTTTGTAATTGTTTTCTTACTTGTTCCCCCAATAGACTGTAGTTAATTCCTTGAAGGCAAGGACTGGGATTTTTTTTTTTTTGGTCTTTGTATTCCCATGTCATGTAGTAGGTTCCTAACAGACGCTTGCTGATTTGAATTGAAAAAAGGAGAAACTATGTGAGCCAATTGCTAAAGTGCATCCAGAGAAAACTTTTCTGAGGAAAACCTCCATGTTCTGAAGGCTATGCATTCAAAATTTCAATTTAGTAAACTCACCTCAGGATATTCAGAAAATACACATACATACATACCTACACAACTACATATTTATGTGTGTGTGTGTCTATACACACACACATAGGTATGTAGATATGTATATATACATATGTACGTAGGTATGTATGTATGTGTAGTCTCTAACAAATGCTATTATCTTATGCGATTTCCCACTAACTAGTTAAATGACTGGGAACGTCACCTCACCACGTCTTAACTTTCTCTGCTAAAAAATGAGAGGTTTGAACCAAAGGAAGAATAAGATTCCTTTCAGGTCTGAAATCCTATGGGACTGTGATATGCTAATAGTAATATATAATCATAATCATAACAACAACATCAACAAAGCAGACCTATTTTTTCATTGGTATAAGTAGCTCCTGATAGGAACCTGCAATCTTGTCTGAGAGAGTTGTCTGAGGCACCAAGAGGCTAAGAGATTTGACCATGGTCACATAGCCAGTATATGTCAGAGGTGGCTCTTAAACCCAGGGCTTCCTGACTACAATTCCACCACTGGCTTTTACTCCTTACTGTCTTTACATAGATTTGTTTTCCTGTCCATTGATAGCAGATCTCTTTTATGTTTTGGACAGCTTTATTTTTCTCAACAGTTGTCTCATTTGAGCTTTTGACTCTGTTCCCAAAGAGAGTTTGATTCTGTGGAGAGCTAAAGACATTGTTTTCATGAAATACACTCTATGCTCTAGGCATATGTCCATTGAACAGTGTACTTTGGTTAATAGCTTCTTTAATATTTTAACATCTCAGAGGACCTGCAAGTGCACTGATATGTGTGTGCGTGTGTGTGTGTGTGTGTGTGTGTGTGTGTGTGTGTGTGTGTTTCCTTCGCTCTCAGCCCTCTCTCCATCTGAGTAGATTGTTTTAGGAGTTACTGGGACTTAAAACCTTCACCCTCTGGCACTCAGCCTTCTGATAATTTACCTATCTGAACTTGCTTAGGCCTGGCCTCAGACAACCCTAAGCCTATCCTCAAAGCCTGTCTACCTACATGGACCTCCTTAGCTTGCTCTCTGCTAGCAGAGTCTTCAGAAACACAGGGTCGCATCCACATCATTATGAAGCATTGAAAGGCATATTTACTCAACATTGCTTCCCAGCTCTGTTCCCTCAGCCGTGGCTTGAGGACAGGAAGAAATTGGGTACATCTTCATGGTGAAGCCTTACTGGGAAAGAAACAACTCCCTCAGCACTTGAAAGTGGTTCATAATGTACTCACCAAGAAAGTTGGAAGGATTAAAAGAAGTTTTAATTACAGAGCTTCAGATAAGGTAGCTCATGTTGGCCTTAGCACAGAGACCCTGAATCTGATTTTCTGACCCTTGTGCTGGTTTCCCTTCCTACCTCTCTTAGTCACAGCTTTAAGTGACGTTCCTAGACTCCAGTTTGTACTTTAGCAACTTAGATCTTTTCAAAAGCAAATTTTGGGATAGTCACACCATTGGAGAAACAATTATCTCTTCAGGGAGCAAAGTGTAAGTGAAACTAGGAATGCCAAAACTCAAGATGAACATCGAGTGAAATAATTTATCTGACTTTTTCAAGTGGGCAGCATCCATGGAAACCTAAATAAAGGTCTTCTGGGTTCCAAATGTGTTCTTTAGAGACAGGTGAATAGTTCATGAGGGCAGCTAGGTGGTGCAGTAGATAAAGCACCAGCCCTGGAATGGCCTGAGTTTAAAATCCAGCCTCAGACACTGATTAGCTCTGTGACCCTAGGTAAGGCACTTAACCTTGTTTGCCTCAATTTCCTCGTCTATAAAATGAGCTGGAGAAGGAAATGGCAAACCACTCTAGCATCTTTGCCAAGGAAACCCCAAATGGGGCCATGTCTGAAGACTCAGACGTGACTGAAACGACTCAACAACGACAACAACAAAAAAGTTCATGTGAGTGGATCTCTCATTTCTTCTTTCTACGTAAGAATATCTAACACTACTTTTTTCTGGAATAACTTCTATCAAGATGAGAACTAATAATGCTGGGGCAACATAATCTGTAACTTTAGGTTTTCCATGCTCTGAGGGAATCATCAAGTTCACCTTCTTTTGGAATGAGCTACAGCTGATATGCAGTGGACAGTCCTTAAAACTTTCTCTCAGGTTATTGCTATTCAAAAAAAGTACACTTTCTTTTCATGGGAACTGCTTTCTTTATACCTTCCCTCACACTGCCCCAGGCCACTATCCTTAGGGCACCCTTGCCATGATTTCTCTCTGGAAGGATCATCTTCTCAGTTGCAGCCCTTGTGGAGGTGAGTGCAAACCTTATGGAGTTGAGCCCCAAAATGGTTGGGAGTGAAGTGGGATGCGAGATGGTGACAGTGCAAAGGTCAAGCCAACTGTGGGTACAATTGTGCTAGGAAAGGGGGTAGCACAAAGTTTTTCTAAGGGCTACCCCCATCCTAGCACAACTGTACCCATAGTTGGTTTTTACCTGTATCCACAGATGGGCTTGACCATTGTACTGTCATTGTCTCACATTCTACTTCCCTCCCTCAAATTTTTGTCCCATGTGAAAATATTCCTAGTTGCAGCTCTGACTGCTCCTTTTTCTCAAAACTTTTTGCTTTGTGACCTCCACATTAGCTGAGAGAACCATTGGTCTCCCTGACCTTGTAGACAAACAAATCACCTTATACAGAGAAGCATGAGTTAAATTATTGTGAGCTTCCTGAGACCTAGGGCCTGCCCAGACCTAACAAACTATTTCTGACTGCTCATGCTGTTATCCCTTCTTCTTCTCTCCAAATCCTGAAGTGTAAAACACTTCAGAATACATTATCTGCTACTTTATCAGAGTCAATTTGCTGTACCCTGGGATCAGCCCTGATTGAGGAAAACAAATATAAGTGGAAGAGCAATAGGAAAAGTCCATGATAATGGGACTAAGGTCCTGCAGTAGTGAATGCCAGTTGGCTACACATTTTTGTTAATTGTCTTGGCATCAAAAAGCTTTGGGTTATTGTTGGCATGGTTACAAATATCACAGGTGGACTGTCAGGATATAATTCCATGGTTCATGTGGTATCCGACAGACAGACATAGGAAAAGAATGTTGAGGTAAATGAAGTATTTAGTTCATCTCTTTTTGGTTATGTTTCTGAATGTGGGGTGAAGTGGGTGGGAGAAGTGCACTCACTGGACTTTGTACTCATTTACACTCATCATAAAAACAGCAACCTTATGGTGCTATCTGAATTTTCTAATCTTGTCTATGACTGCCAAGGGCCCTGACAGTTTCTCAGAACCATATCAAAGTGAACAGATGGATCAGGACTGAATATATAACTGAGAGAAATTAAGAAGCATATTTCAAAGATCAAAATCCATATTGAATGTACTAATGTTATCTATGGTGGAAGCTCATTTATGACCTAGTAGTCATCCTAAAGGGATTTAGTTTTCATTCATTAGGTTGCTCACACACTTTTAAAACAGGAAAGGAAGCTAGCATTATTTTAGGACAACCACTAGAGTTTGTACTAGGAAGAATATCTACCACAGTCCCCCCTCCCTGCCCCCAGCCATGCACTGACCTAGCTTTTCCTAAGGCCCTATGCCATTCAGGTTAGGATAGATTTTCTTTAAAAGACATTGAAACTGCCCAAGACTCTTGATTGGTTCAGGGAAGTAAGACTTAGCCTATTGAAATAAATTCCTGGTTGTCTGAGAATGAAAGCCAACACAGGGAGGGGTCAGGAGGGCTTCTCCTTGAGGCTTCCGACAGGAAGAGGAACCCCAGGACAAGACTAGGAAACATTGTTCAACTGAATCAGCTGTTACCTCAATAAATATTCTTGTCCTGTTCTGAATGCGCTTCTTCTGCTCTCATTAAGTATACCCCCTTTGATTAACTGTTAGATTATGAGTATCTATATTTTGGATATCAGACTGTTTTTTCCCCAGTTGACCACTTCCCTTCTCATCCTAGTCACATTAATTCTATTCATGCAGAAAGTTTTCAGGTTCATGAATTAACATTATCTATTTTATTGTTTATAATCACTTCTATTCCTTTTTTTGGTTAAGAATTCATCCCTTGTCCATAGCTATGAAATTATATGATTGGCTTATCTTTTCTTTGTGTGTGTACATAGTAAAGATCTTTAATTTTCAAGTCAAATGCCTATTTGTAATTTTATTGTGAAATGTGGTTTAGAATTTTGGTCCAAACCTAATTTTTCCAGACTACTTTTCAGTTTTCCCATCTATTTTTACCATATAGGGAGTTCTTTTCCAGGTAATTTATGTTAGAGGCTTACGAAAGGATCCCTGTGGGTGACATATTTAATTAGTTTTAAAATGGAATGTTAAGGGCAGCTAGGTGGTGCAGTGGATAG